TTTCCAGGTAGCTTCTGGCTAAAGCCTGAGGGCCTATAGGCCCTTGTTTTCAGGCTGTCAGGCTGAAACGACACGGGGCCTGTAGGCCCTGGTTTGCAGGCTGTCAGGCTGAAACTGACACAGGGCCTGTAGGCCCTGGTTTTCAGGCTGGCAGGCTGAAACAGACACGGGGCCTGTAGGCCCTGGTTTTCAGCCTGAATTTCAGGCTTTCAGCCTGAGGGACGCAGGGCCTGGAAAATGGCCCTCGTGTGCAGGCGCAGCATGTAACACCTAGAGCCATTGATGATTGATGATGAACAACAGGTTGAGAGTTCAAAGTCGCATAAGCGCACAGTGTTAGGAGCTAGCCCCTTTTCGAAGAGCGGAAATACTTGCTCGCAACTGGGAAAAGTGACTCGTAGTTTGCTCGTGTGTGTTGCTTCAGAAGCGAAGCTGAGAGTCTGAGGCGGAAGGAAGACGTAAATTGCTTGGGGATTTTTTTTTTTTTTTGCCCTTTGGATTCAAACTCATGATCTGTTTATTTTAACAGTTGCATTTGTGTGCCGTTCAGCCAAAAGGTAGGTACAACCCTTGCTGAGAGAGTCTCGGGTGGCAGGGAGACAATAATTGCTGGTGGATGCATCCTTTCGTTTCCGACATGCAGGATTTGAAATTTTGAGCTTATGATCTGTTCGCTAACAGTTGCATGTGTGTACCCTTTAGCCACAAGGTAGGTAAAAGCAACCCTTGCTGGGAGTCTTAGGAGGCAGGGCAACAAGAATTGCTCGCGGACGAGTCAGTTTTTTTTTTGTTTTTCTGACATTATTCAATGATTACATTGATTAGTGTCAGAGTAAGGATTGAAATTGAAATTTGAAGCTCAGATGATCTGTTTATTATCGGTTGGATGCGTGAAACCGGTTAGCCGCAAGGTAGGTATAGCAACCCTTGCTGAGAGTCTCAGGCAGAAGCGGAGAGAAAGAATTGCTGGCATATTAGCATCTCCCTTGTTGTTGGTTTTTGCCAGAGAGGTGGTTGGAAAGAGGCCAACAGCAGAGACGAGCAGAGCAGAGCATGATGGTGCAGAGGTCATAGTGTTCTGCAGAGAGGGCGCGGACAAGTTACAACCCACCGTGAACAGTATCATAACACAGCAGAGAGATGCTCTACTTTTTGCCATTTCGTCACCAGGTTGTGTTCCGACCGATCATCGTCAGAGGGAATGGAGAACAGAACACTCGACGTTTTGCTCAGGACCGATGGAGCAGCCTGGAAGGCCAATGGTCTCTTGCCACCTGGAAAGTCAGAAACAGGGTCACATAGTCTCGACAATGATATATACCTTTCTCGGCCGTCTGGCTAAGATCCAGTTTACTATCCATAGATTCGGTTCGGATCAGTTTAATATATGATGCGTGGTCCACCGGGCCACATGCTATTAAATCGTACATGCAAGGGGACGCCGTGCGGAAATTCCGCACGTTTGGCACACGAGCGGACCTGCATGGTGCGGTGCACGGGAAAAATATTAACTCCCCCCCCCCTAAGAAAAGGGGTCGCATGGCTGGGCCAGTGTTCACCTGCATCCCCTTTAAAGATTTGTTGTGGGATGGCCAAAAAAAAAAAAAAAACCTAGTGCGAGGGTAACGCCGCTACCTAAAGGTCAAGGCTGATGTCCCAGACACTTTTTTTAGGCTATTTCATGCCCAATTGGGCAGAAAGAAAAATCTGTACGATTGTACTTGAAGAAGATCAGTTCCTTAGGTGTTGCACTCTTCTGTATCAACAAACAAAAGGGAAACTGGCGCTGGTACGATGCACGAGCAGGTGCCGTGCCGCACGCCGTGCGGTGCACCGCAGGGTACGACGCACAGTGCGGTTGCAAATATGTGTTTAATTGTGTTAAATTAAATTTTCAGGGGTACAGTGGGGTCGTATGGGAAACAGAAAGAAAATAGGTCGCGGAAAAAAATAAATAAAAAAATTGTCCTCCATGACATCCGTTAAAATTGGAACGATACCGATAAGATTAACATGACCATTGCACAAAAGAAGAAGAAAAAGACAGGAGAACATGAGAATTCTGGTGGTCTAGTGCCATTAGAGTGAATCCACCAGCCTTGTGTTTTACTTCCCCAATTTACAACCATATCAAATATCTGGGAGAAACGGTTCATCAAGGGTTTAATATCTTCCATGTTGCTCTCAGAAGCGTCCACCATTGTTAAATCATCCGCAAATGTTAAGCTGATAGGTAAAGCCCCCTTTGGAATACCAGAGATTCTTAGTCCTTTGAGATTGTGGTTAGTCTTGAGATTAGCCCCTAGTGCTTCCACGATTATCAAGAACAGAAAGGGAGTCAAGGGGTCTCCTTCTCTCTCTTTTTTTTTTTTTTTTTTTTTTTTTTTTTTTAACAAGAAACAACCCAAGTGAGTGCCAGGGGTGCTGATAAGAGCAGACACCACTAGCACACTCGGGGAGGCTCCATCTATTGGTGGGAAGCAACACCTGCTGGAAAGCGGGTCCAGCGTCCCTCAACATTTTAGGAAGGGGCATTTTGTAAACAAAAGTTATGTAACCGTGCCACGTGTCCATCCTACTTTAAACATGAGTGAACACCATCCCTTTTTTGAGGTTAAGTACACACAAGTTGGCCTTCGTGCTGCTGAAGGACCGGTGTACCCAAAAGCCTTTTACGTTAGCCTCCTTTACCACATCATCCGGGGACCCACGTTTCATGCACTCATCCCCCCTGTTCCACAGTTGCACTGCATTTTATCCCCTTTTTTTTTTTTTTTTTTTTTTTTTTTTTTTGAACAGGCCCTTGTACAAGGCCTCTATCCTGGTGGTGGTAAGAGAACCACCGGGATTGAGGCATTGCCTGGCGGGCCGCTCCGTCTATTGGTTCCCTGCATTTTATCCCCTTCCGATCTTTGAAGATGGATTTCAGAGGAAAGAAAATCTTTGACCTGAACTCTTGCTGTCGCATTACAGTGCAGAATGGACACCTCACATCTCAAGTTGGGTCCGAAGTTCATTTTGTTGATGCAAGCATCCGAAAAACATCAATCCGCATGGTCATAGGCTTTCTCAAAAACAATGAAGACAAATGTTGTATTCTATTTGGATCGACGTGCACTGCGAGTTTAACAATTTCGTTAATTCATAAAAAAATATCCAGGATATGTCTAACGTTAATGAATCCCGTTTGTGAGGGATGAATAATGTCAAACATAACTGGAATCAAACGGTTTGTCAATGCTTTGACCAACAATTGTAGACGATAGTGAGAAGGGATATAGGATGATAGTTTTCAATATCAGTTTTGTCACTTTTTGTTTTTTTCATACAAAAGAGTTAAAACTTTTTGGCTCACAAATTCCCCCAACCGACGTGACTCTTGGACTGTTTCAAAAAATTTCATCAAGTCAAAGGAGAAGGTGGGTCATATAACTTCCCATTATTCTTTAGGGAGGTCGTTTGTCCCTCGGGTTTTGTTTTCATCTATAGGTAGTAAGGTTGTTCAGATTTCATCTTTAGTGAGTGGTTTCTCTAGAAGCTCCTTTTGGGATTGAGGGAGTGATCGTGTCATTGGGGCAAGAAAAATATTTATGGTTTGGTCGTCCTCCGTCTGTGCCCTCTGGTCAGAAACTTTTATGTGAATAGATTCTTAAAGAAGTTATATAGGCAATCTTTAGACTACCCGCAGATGATGTGATGTGGTGGGGTGATCATCTAAAACAAAAGGGTCTAAAAAATCTTCAACACTTGTACGCCACGAACGAACATGCACTAAAACGAAATAGGACGAATGCATTTGGTCTTTTGTCAAGAATTTCATGTTTATCTTTAGTAGTGTTCCAGTATTCCGTTCCCTGGTGTCTTTTTTATCTTCCGAATAGACATAGGGCCTCGTTCGACACCCGGAAATTGCTGTTTTTCAAGGAAGCGTCGTTCGACCCCGCCCTAATCACGCACCCTTGAAGTCGCTAATTGTTTCCACATCCCTCAGGCTGCGGCCAACTGTCCTCCCTTGAAACGGAAGTGCATCCCAGGCAAATGGACGAAAATCCCAAGGGTGCCTCGGTTTCACCCTTCAAAACGGATAACATACGGACCTTTTTCTTTTCTTCTTTTTTTTTCCCACCAATCACCACTGTTCATGGTGCAATGACGTCAGCACTTCAGTTTCAAGGACGGCCGCTCAAGGATTTCGTCAAGGGGTTGTGGAA